TCAAAATTCTTTGCAATCAGCAAGCTGCTCAATCATCATAATTCATCATATGTGTGAATCAGTCATTTTGATGATGATGATGATGATGATGATGAGTGATGAGTGAAAAATGAAAAATCTTCAAAACGACAATAAATTTTCAATAAAAATAAAACACCAAAAGAATTTCTACCTCTACAACAACTATATTCCTTTGTGGTGGATGGATATTGAATATTCAGCGAAATAAAATAAAAGCTAAAGTTACACCAACACAAGGAAGTGAAGGCGAAACAACAACAACAACAACAACAACAAAAATGAAAAATCAAACCGAGACTGTAATAACAAAATAATGGTGATGATGAAGAATGGAGAATGGAAAATAACTCAAAAAAAATAATGATTTTTTTTCTCTCACTTTCAATTTCATTGACATTTTGATGTTTTACTTCGTTTATCATCATCATCATCATTTTTTGGGTTTTGGTTTCTGGTTTTAAATTTTCATTCATGTCATGACATATATACAATGAAAATGTGAATATTTTGAACAAACAAATATCGTTTCAGGCAAAAAAAAATGGAACAGTCCAGTCACTGATATTCTGGTTTTTTTCTTTTTTTTTTTTTTGTTATTTTCACCAACAATCCATTATATTATATCACAAAATGGATAACCATTCAGCCGTGTATGTTTGTTTGTTTCGCATAATACAGCCAGTTATCCATTCATTCATCCATTCATAAATTCGGTGATGATTTCAAGAATAAAATAAATTGAAATCAAATAAAAATCATCAATGAATGGAACAAAAAACAAATAGTGGAATGTGTGTGATACCATCACCACCACCACCACCAAGATTACCACCACCGCCACCATCATGAAACCATGGGGCAAATTCAATTCAGCCAAATAAAAAAAAAACTTTTTTTTGTGTGTATTGCATTGATTTGATTCATTTTAAAGTGTTGGGAATGTTCTACATTCATTTTTCAAATGAGAGACAAGAAAAACATTCCAATGAAATTGAATTCAATGTCTGTTTGTGTATGTGTGTGTGTCTGGATGAATGGATATCGAAAATGAAATGATGATGATGATGAAAAACTTTTATATGCATTTTATGGAATCAAGAGAGAGAGAGAGAATAGAATCAATATCAATTCTGTAATAATGAAATGATGTTCGACCGAGAATTTCGTCAAATTTTTTTTTCTGGTTTTCGGTTTTGTTTTGTATTCGATTTTTTTTTTGTTCTCTTGTCCTGATTCTTTCATCATCGTACGGTATGGATTCTGAATTTAATGGAATTTCAAACTTTCAAGCTATGCACTAGTTTTTTTTTTGTTTTAAAAATATAAATTTTAAATCAATAAAAAATAACTAAATATCAAAGTACCACCATCAAAGGTTCAAATTGACGATCAAGGCCAATGTTTTTTTTTTTTTTTTTTTTTGGTCCAACCAAACTAAGGTGGTACAATTGAGAAAAGTGTGTGTGAGAGAGGAACAGAAAGAACATTTGTATATGATTGCCATAGCAATCATCAACATCATAGTCATAAGTTCCCGGGGAAAAATTTGAAAATTTCTTACTTTTACTGATACAAATAACAACATATTTTTGTCATTCTATTTTTATTTTCGCCAATAGAATCATTTTCTGAATTGTACAAAATATCGATCGATTTCGTTTTATTACACAAACTAGTAGTAGTAGTAGTAGTAGTACTCACACCACCCATTTATCACCTCCCAATTATCAATTTCATCAATATTTCAATTTTCCAGTATTGATGATGATAATGATGATGATGATGATGATGAGTTTTTTATCGGGCTTAGGTTTCAATAAAAACCAGTTAGCTTGTTTTTTTTATGGATAGCTTAATGTACACATGATAACGATAATAGTCATAATAGTGTATGGTAGTGGTATTAGTGAAAACGAAAAAAACGACGGTTTTAGAAACCAGAAACCGATGAAGAAAAAAAAAAGTTCCAGAATCAAGTAAATGATGAAAATTTATAATAAAAAGAAAATAAAAAAAATGAAAAATGAAAACAAATGGGCCCATTTGTTTTTTTTTGTTTTCTATTATTTGTTCCAATTGGAGCACTTTGTTTCATTTTTGGTTCCTATATTCTGGATATCTCACTAACTTCAAACCAGCAAAAAAAAAGTAGGTGGCAAATGAAGGACCATTTTTCCTAGTTCTGGAGAATTTTTTGTTGTTGTTGTTGTTTAAAGAAACAAAGAACAAACAAAAAAAAAATAGGAGGCGTCAGTCGGTCAGTCAACCAGAAAAAAATATATAAAATTTTTGAAACACTTCATTTTCCGGTCATTTTTGTCGTTGGTTGGTTTATTTATTTATTTGTTCCATCTTGTTTTATTTTTCACTAAATCTCTCAATAGTTCGATGACATTATTATGATGATGATGAAAATGATATTTCAAGTACCAAGTGGTGATATTTGACAACGACAATAAATAAAATTGAATGAAAAATGAAAAATGAAAAATGACGATGATGATGATGACGAATGGTGGAAAACTAAAAACAAAAAATTTAAAAATTCTTCAAATTGAAAATTTTCAACAAAGCTAAACCATAATAATGAGCTATATACAATAATAAAGCAAGAATTTCATTGATTCTGAACATGAGAGTAAATAACAGAAACCAAAACCAAAAAACCAAAAAAATTAGGCGTTATTATCCAGAAAAAAAGAGACCAATCTTTCTTTTTTTTTCATTCGTTCATTGTTGTTGTTGTTGTTGTTGTTGTTGTCATCATTATCATATCACCGAGATAATTTACATAATAAACATACATATATATACCTTATATATTGTTTCCGCACCCAAATCAAATGTGTGTGTGTGTGTGTGTGTGTCCAAGAGAGAAAGAAAAAAATCATATTGAAAATGAACACAAACAGGATACATTAGATCCATCCAGAATGGATCAACATTTTTTTTTTGGGGACAAATACGGATATTATTCAAATATATACAATTTTTCCCGTCTTATACTAACGATGACGATGATAATGACAATTTGAATACACACACACACACACCCGCACATATATTCAAATTTGACTGAATGAATAAATGAACAAATGAATGAAATGGTAAAGGAAAACGCCCTAAACTTTTACTTTTTGTCCGAAAAATGAATGAAGAACCAAAATCAAGGTTCAAAAAAAAAATCTGTTTGTTTTTCCAATGTTTTGTTCATTGTTATTAATCAACATTTAATGAAATGGATGATTGCAAAAAAAACAAAAGTGAAAAACCCGAAAAACCGCCAAAGATCCACCACCAGTGTGACAATCAACCAAGAAGACGCAAGAAAGAATTTATTTACATACACAACTTTCCACACAACAATATGGAAACAAACAATATCCATATGCATAAATAATTAGGATGAATTTACATTTTTTTTCTCTCGCTCTCTTATTGTTGTGTTGTTATAAATTTCAACATTTACCGTTCACCAATTATCATTGCATTATTTTGGGTAAAAAAAAATCCCCACAAATATTATCATAATCACTGGATGGATATAAAGGATGTAAACTTCATCATCATCATCATCATCATCAGGATGACCTATACACACGGTTTTTTTTTCATTGTTCCACTTTTGTATGGAAGAAAGAAAAAATTTTTCATTATTATCACAATGAATGTACCAAATGTTCCAAAAGGATTCATCATCATATGGATACACACACACACACACACAGACAGACAGAAATTATTAGTGTATCATCATTATCGTCAATATATAACAACATTATATAATGACAAATTGAAAGAGATGCAGAAAAAAATGCTATTCAAAAACACACAGCACGATTTGTAAGATATTCAATCAATAAATGAATAAATGAATGAATGATTGAATTCGATTCGATTCAAATCCAATTGAATTGAATTGTATTGAATTACAAACATGTGAAACACACAGACATACATACAAATGGTATATATGAATGACCAATGAATGAATAATAACGACAGTAATAACAAAATGACCATGTCACCATGGATCACCAATATAAAACATTTGTCTGCGTTGTTGTTGTTATTGCTGTTGTTGTTGTGTATGAATGTCATTTGTCTCGTTTTTTTTCTGCAGTTTATTCGAGGATTTGGAACGTTCCATTCAATTCAATTCAATTCCATTTATTTCTCATTCAATTCGTATTTTTTTTTTTTTTTTTCTTACAGACAAATAAGACATTGATGGACACAAAATGTTTGTGTGTGTGTGTGTGTGTGTAAATCGATTTAAGAATGATGAATAGCATGTGAATCGATCTATCAATCTATTTATCTATTAGTGAATAGATTGAATATACATGAAATAGATTGGAAGCTTCATGTTCCATTCATAAAAACCGTAACTAAATTAAATGATGATGATGATGATCAATTAACATTAACATTTTTATTGAAATCTTGTAATCTTGTCTGCCGTTATTACAATAATCATCATCACAATCATCACTATGAGTAAAATGAAATGTAATGTGAACATCGATTCACAATGACAACAACAACAATAATAATCGTTAATCATGAAAATTGAAAATTGAAAAAAAAATCATAATGAAATGACATATAGAACGTACGTAGAACAATTTCATTGAAAAATTTTGATTCCTTTTTTCCAAAAAAAAAAAAAAAAAAATCCTTTATCAATATATAATTAGTTTCCGTTGATCGTATCCATAGGGAAAAAATGTGTCGATCCAGTAGTAGTAGAATAATAAAATATAATCAGCCATTTTTCCGGCAAATATATTGGATGGAATCGATCATCATCATCATCATCACCAATATTATAAAATCAATCGATAATTGGATCAATATAGCATTGTTGTATTATCAATATCAGACGCATTTTTGATTGTTTGTGCATGTATAATAATAATAATAATGCCTACGCGCATCTTAAAGGGCCAGAAAAAGAAGAAAACTGTTACATTTACCTTTGCCGATGTATTGTAATCAATGAATCAATATGGATCGGTTCCATTCAAGAAGCACAATTTTATTATTATTGTTATTACACTGTTTAATGTGAAAGAATGAAAAGAGAAAAAAGAGAAAAAATTTATTAATAAAAAAAATTTTAAAATGATAAAATTTAGAGGAAAAAAAATTCTTCCGCAAAAAAAAATTCACCACCAGATATTTATCATGATAGGAAAATAAAAATTATATATATGCCAACCCTAGAATGATGACGATGAAACAACGAACTAGCTATCTAGAAAAAAACTGAATTAATTTTCATCATGACAATAATAATTTTTTTTCCGAAAAAAAGCGAGAAAAATTGATGATGATGATTCATATCATCATCATCATCATCATTATAACTGATTGGCCAATCCAATCAGCCAATCAAATATTATTAACCGATATACGAACAACAACAACAACAACAGCAACAGCGATGGCAATAATAATCAATCAATCAATCAATCATCAATCAAACAAACAAAACAAAAAAAAAAAAAAAATTTTTTCATTTTACACACACACACACACACACACACACACATGATGAAGGAATTCAAGTAGCTTTTCATGTCATCCCTCATCTCATACACATTGATGTGATTGAACTATTATAAAATGGTTGTTAACAAAAAAAAAATTGACTTGAAAATGGAGGAAAAAAAGGGAGAAAAAAAATTTGAAAAAAAAAAAAAATTTTTTTTTACAATGAACGAAGAAAATTCAATTCAATTCAATTCAAATTTTTTTTTTGGCTGTGTTATCACTGCCTCCATTTTGACCTGAATGAAATTGATGAAAAAAATGAAAATTTCCATATTTTGATTATTGATTGTCATCGTCCAACGTCCATCGTCTATTGTTGTTGATGTTATGTGTCACATTATTTATTGTCATCCACATTATCAATTGTCAATTTTCATTTTTTTTTGTTTTGTTTTATTTATCTAACCGTTCCATTTTAAAATCATTTTGTTTATTTTGTTCTAGTTGAAATTTCAATAAAATTTAAATTTTCAATCATTTGCATCATCATCATGATCATCATCATCATCATTATTATATTGATAAGCAAAAACTATATTTGCATTATCATCATTATTGGCCAAAATGATGGAAAGACGACGGTGGAAATTCATATTTTTTTTGTTCGTTTCGTTTTTCATATAATTTTCAATCTTGTGTTTTGTTATCTCCGTTTTGGCTGATTTGTAATACGCTCATTTTTTTTCTCTCTTTTTATCCTGTTTTTTTTTTGGTTACTGTTGTTTTTTTATTTTGTCCATTTTCCAACATATAACGTTTTTTGGTTGTTGCTGCTGTTGTTGTTGTTGTTGTGGTGATGGTTGATGATTGGACAATCTAACGATTTTTCGTGACTTCTTCTTGTGGCCAAGTTATTGTTGCTGTTGTTGTTCAAATGATGACGATCGATTTTCAATGATGATGACGACGACCGAATGAACTTAACTTGAATTGAACTAAAAATGAACGACCCAAACCAACAATGATGATGATCAATAAAGAGAAAGAAAGATATTTGGCCACTATGGACAACAACAACGGTCAGATCGTCTTCGTTTTTATTTTTTCATCTTCAACTCCATCATCATCATAAACACAGCAACAACAATCGTGTATCGTGTGTGCGAGTGTTTGTGTCAGACGAAAAGCAACAACAACAACAACAACAACAGAAAAAAATGAACGAATTCACCAATACAATAAAAAGATTTGATGGAGCCAAAAGAAGAAGCAGAACAAACACAATAACGACAACAACAACAACAACATCGAATGATAAAAATGGCCATATCACATATCTACAACAACAACAACCAAAATAACAGAAAGCTTATAACGATACTGTATATTGGTTATGATGATGATGATGATGATGATAGATTTTGGATACTCGATTTTATTCAACAATAGATTTTTGGTGTGGATGGAATGTGGATTGTACACACTAAATACAAGTGTACAGTACACTCAAACACATCATCATCATCATCATCTTCATCTTTATTATTATCATTTTCATCATCTTTTTTTTACCATTGTCTTCAATACAATTTTCATTGTATATGAATGAATATAGAACATGTATATACATACGGTATCACAGTTGTTTTTTTTTTTTTTTTGCTCATCTCATTCATTCATTCATTCATACATCCAATAAATCAATCAATCAATCAATCAATCGATCAATCGGTCTAATTGAAATAATAACCGGAAACAAAGATTTTTTAAAATTTTAAAACTTGAAAATTTGGTTAAAATTTCGGGGGGGAAAAATTGGAAAAAATGGATTTTTTTTTCTCCACAACGTGTTGATTATTATTGCACGTACAAAATACAACTTAATTAATCTGGAAACAAAAAAAAACTGTTGATGATGATGATGATGATGATGATTATCAACTTTTGGATTTTTTTTCTTTCTCTCTCTCTCTCTCTCTCTCTCACTCGCATCATATGGATTATAATCCATCACAGCCACAAATCATATATGTGTGGTGTGTGATGTGTTTATATGAATAATAAATGAACAAAAAAAAATGAAATCACTCAATATATTGCTGTGGCATAACATTAATAACATCATCATCATCATCATCATTGGATTTCGGATATTAAGATTGAAAATGAAAATGAAAACAAATCATCAGTAACGAAAAAAAAAATGAAAATGAAAACCACGTTCAAAGAGCTAAAGAGGTTTTTTTTTTGTTTTTTCTGATCCATTCTCATAATCCAATGATGAAGAAAAAAAAATCAAAATCAAAATCATCATCATCATCATCACAATGGCCAATAAGGAAAATGAAAATGCAGACATTTCATGTTTATTACATAATGTGTGTGTGTGTTTGTGTGTGTGCATTACACAGGGCCAATATGAAAAAACTGTGAACAAAGAAAAAAATTTTTTTCATATCCTGAAATTCCAAATCCTAAAACGAATAATGATGATAATGATGATGGTGATGATGATTGAAACAAAATGGAAAAATCTTAATAAACTCGTTAAGTATTGAATAAATATGACGATGAATATAACTGTAAACAGTTTTTTTTGTTGTTGTTGTTGTTGTTCATGTGAAAGTTTCAAAGTTTAGAATGAATGAATGAATGAATGTGGTGAAAATATGGAATTCGATGATGATGATGAAAATGAAAATGAACATACACACACACACACACACACACATTACAGAAGTGTTTGTAATATTTTTATTTTGTTTTATGAAAACATAAATAGGTGTGGTACCTGTTGTTGTTGTTGTTGTTTCCACGGTGGTTGACGATATGTTTTTTTTTCTTTTATAAAAGCACTAAGTTTGGTTTGTGTGTATGTCCATAATATTAATACAAATTTTTTTTTGTTTCGTTTGATACACACACACGTAAATAGACACAGACAATTTTCATCGCTCATCATCACCACATTTGCAACAAAAAAAAACAAAAAAAACAAACAGGATCAAACAACAACAACAATTATAATCAATACACATATGGGTATATTTCCTTGGTGTTTTTTTTTTCGTTGAATTTTTTCACCATACAGGAGGGCTACTTACAATGATTTTGAATGAATTTTTTTTTTCATTGTTTTCTTATGAATGAAATGATGATGATGATTATTATTATGATTATATTTGGTTTTATTGAAATTTCAATTCATTCATCGAATATTAATCAATTTCGTAATAAATGATACATTAAATGAAAAAAATGGGTATGATTCGCAATTCGATTCAAATTTTTTTTTTGTTTTGTTTTGTTTGGCCATAAACATACACACACACACACAAACACACACACACACACCAATATGTTTGAGATCATAATCATCATATCATAATTATTATTATATTGCTATATTACGAAACTATCGATGATGAATAGTGTGCGTGTACAACACTGCAAAAAAAACGTGTATGTATTATATGTATAATTTAGATGAATTGATGATGAATATCATCATCATCATGATCATTGAGAAAATTATTATCATCATCATCATGTGTATTGTGTGTGTGTGTGTGAATGCGAACTGAATATTGAAATTTTGTGTGGAAATGAATTCAATTAGAAAAAAAAGGAATTTTTTTTTGCCAGTCGAATTGAAATGATGTCAAACAATAAAAACGAATAATGGAGACATGGACTACATGAAAAAAAAATGACTTGTGCACGATTTTTTTTTCTGTACGCGTGCTGTGTAGAAAGAAAAAAAAATTTGTTCATTTTCAATTTGGATTTTTCATCATCATCATCATCATCATCATCTTCTTTTTCATTTTTATTTCTTTCGATAATTTGCATAATTTTCATGTTTGGACATAATTTATCGATCATTTTTTTTTGTTGTTCATTGATTGAACAAAAAAAAAACCGAGACAAAAAAAAGTGACATAATTTCTGTAATCATGAATGCTTTCTATGTGTGTGTGTGTGTGTGTGTCTTCTTTTAAATTCATCCATTCATCATTGTGTGGAGATAATCAATTGAAAAAAAAACAAATTTAAAGATCAACAAGTTGGAAAAAAAAACTTGAAAAAAAGATAAAAAACACACACACACACACCGATAGGAATGATAGATGCATCGCAACAACAACAACAACAAGCTGCTGTGTTTGGACACCCTGTGTGTGTGTGTGTGTGCGTTTCAAATTCAATCAATTCACTTGTCATCATCATCATCATCATCATCAAAGATTTAACTAACTAACTAGCTAACTAATCAAAGAAAACCAAAAACAAAACAAAAAAAAAGACTTGATCAACTAACTAGATGAATTGTAATCAGGATAGAAAAAAAAATTGGATTCACGTCGTGTGTGTGTGTTGTTCAACTTTACAAATTGTAACTGTTTTTCATTTCATTTCATTTCATTTTGAAATTTTACATTGAAATTGAATTTTTTTATAAAAAAACACAATGCACAAGCACAAACAATATACAATGGAATAGAATAGAAGAGAAGAGAATGGAAAAAATATGCAAATTTAAACAAAACAAAACAAAAACAA